AACTTTCATAATGTTACAGCTGTACTGTGAAAGTACTAGCTATTGATTGCCATGCAACAAAAGCTGTTATTTAATGTGTTTAGAGTTGGAGAACGGCTTGTGTAATGTTACTGAACTTACAGCACATATGTCAGAGCGTTGTGTGTGTTGGTGAGTTCTCTCATATGGGGTTCTTTCATGAGTTTTTGCAGATAACTACCAGCTTGGTAGTCATTGAAGTCAAACACGTTCCTGCTAGTAAAGGAGAACTGAACCGCCGCAAACTGAAAATAAGCAGACAAGATCATACGTTATTCAACATTATGTCAAATTAAAAAAAAATAAAAAAATAAAATGCCATGAACGCCCTAATGTAGTCGTAGCACAGCGACCTTGATCGATGAGTTCTTGAGGCTGTTTATTATATCCACTATGAAATCTTTATTTTTGCCGAATTCTCCTTCGGTCATACTCGCGGATCCATCAAACAGAAAGACAAGATCCACTGTCTTTTTTGTGCAGTCTGAAAAAAATACGCAACATTGTTAACATTGAAAGAACATTCATTTAGGAAAAAAGTTATGAGAATATTTTTTACTTGAAGAGTTGGAGAAGTTTCCTTTCTAATGATTTTACCTTGGAAAGCAGATGTGAAAGAGGAGGTTTGCTGAAGATTATCTGCGATGTTGAAGCACACGCTGTTCATATAGGAGTTCTCATAACACTCATGGACTACACTTGGACTGCAGACCTAGGTCAGCACATGAAGTCAAATCAATTTCATATTCATCATATTGATTTTTTATTGCGCAATAAACATTTTCTTACTGTGAATTGGGATCGTTTGGAGTCTTTCGCTAACGAGAGGCCAAGGTGTTTGACGGATGTGTTTGTTAGAGAAATATCTGCAAACAGTAGCGTTTAATTCAGTTTTCTTTTGAAGACACATAACATTTATCAGCTATTATGTTTACTTTTAACATTTCATATTTCTTTGTTTTTGGTGTGATTTAATGTGTAATATTGAAATAAATACCTTGAGGGTTGGTGCACTGAAAAGTTTGGTTTTGGTGGGATTTGCATATTGCTCCAGATCCGTTTTGCTGCAGCGGTGCTGTCGCGATTATCCTGTGGATGTGGTACCATTTTAGGGACCAGGCTGACATCATTAGCACAGTTTGAACTAAAGCGAAACAATGCTTTTGCAGTTGCAAGCAGGGCGTTAGACGTATCTTTTGTAATGCAACAGGAAGTCCTAGGCTGCAATGTCATTCACAGTGTTAAACCACAAGAGCTTTTCTCAGAAGCTCCTTATTGATAAACCAGAATTATCTTTAAGTTCTATGCAAAAGGAAACCACGCTGAAAAAAAAAACATTATTATTATATCAAAAGTATTGAGCAATTTTACTTTCAGTTATTTGACATCTATCGCAACACTAAATACCAACAGAACCACCAAGCAAATGCAAACTTACCCTTTGTTTGTGCCGGACGAATATTGAAGTACTTTATATCCAAAGAAATCATTTTGTTCACCAATATAGACAACAGGTTTTGTCATGTCAATGTTGAAAGCCAAAGAAACATAGGTGGCTGCAATTTGTAAAAAGAAAAAAAGATACCATATTAGTAGAGGTGTTATAACATATAATAAGATATGATACAAAAACGTCAATCTTAGAAGGGAAATTAAGAGATAAAAAAATATCATGAACCTTAAAAAAAAGAGTTGCCAAATAAGTTATCAGCGATATAAAAATAAATCAAAACTATGAAATAACATACATGTAATATCTAAAAGATGCGGTTATTTTTGCAGATATTTTAAAAGAGCCTCAAACTCCTACACTGAAAATGTGGCGGGAAAAATGATTTAAATTGCTTCATGGGCAAATGCCCTTGGTGAATGTTTGGTTAAAGAAACATGGAAAAGCATTGGTGGATATATTTGTAGGCTATATTGTGTCTCATTGTCAATTAAATTGAGGCAAATATGTCATACTATAACATTGTCAGATTGAAAAAATCTGTGCTTTCTAGCCTTTTCGGTAACCAAAATATAATTTGTTTGCAACAGTGTGTTTGAAAATCTGCATGCATTACACATAAGCCCTTAATTCACCGGTCATTAAAACAACTGTTCGTAGTGGCCGAACGGTGGTACTTGACTTCTGTTCTAGTCTGTGATGTCATTTGGCCAGAAAATACTGTTTCCTATTGACAGGAAAAAATAAGTCTTTAAATCAGCGCAGTTTTTGCCAAATAAACTACCCAGTATAAACACTTGTATAGCCCTTATTTAAATCATTAGTGTCTTAAAGTTGTAAAAGCTAAAAGCCGAATCCAGAGTATATTTCCTTCAGATGACCTGGGTACTTTTTGAATATACAGTGACTTCATTTTGGCTTCAGGCGCTACTGAACAACTTCCATAACAATGAACATGGCCCCGCCTCCAAGGCTGTATCCAGTTCTCTCTATACATCCATGCTAGTAGCAGCTAATGTAGCCTGAACCCTCAACCGCAGGGGGCTAAAGAATTCAACTCAATTATTCCTAACGCCCCTCCCCAAGATTTTTTTCTTTTTTTTCTTCAGATCAGACCAACTCAATTGGCAGGAGTTAAGGGAATTTATCCGACTTCACATAGCTCCCCAGGGTAACAATTAGCTTACACAACTAAAAACTCCACCCCATGAATCACGTCAAACTGTGTGCCAAATTTGCTTCAAATCCATCCCGCATCAATCAAATGCCTAATTACTTTGTGGAGATATGTGCTGGTTATTTCCTATGGTTATTTCTTAGAACAAATCCCACAATGACCTGTACATATTGATAGTTTGAAATGTATTTTTGCTAAAGTTTTGAAATATCCAACTCCCACCCATACAGCTAAGGGAAATAACCAGTGCTGAGAAATGCATTTCTTTAATAGTCAATGTTTCTATGGGTAATACATTTGAGATTATGTTGCAAATGTCTAATCTTGAAGCTGTAAAGCCTGAAGCTGCAGTGAAAGATTTGAATTGCAACTGGCATGAGTTTGTACGGAAGAGTATTAGGGCCACATAACAAATTTTTTTGTGAGGATTTGAAAAAAAAAAATTTTTTTTTTGTTCTGAGAAAAAAGTCAGAATTCTGACTTTAATCTCAGAATTCTGACTTTAATCTCAGAATTCTGACTTTTTTCTCAGAAAAAAAAAACATTTTTTTTTTTGGGAGAAAAAAGTCAGAATTCTGACTTTAATCTCAGAATTCTGACTTTTTTCTCAGAACAAAAAAAAAATATTTTTTTTGGGAGAAAAAAAGTCAGAATTCTGACTTTAATCTCAGAATTCTGACTTTAATCTCAGAATTCTGACTTTTTTCTCAGAAATACCGGTAACTGTAGAACCAGCTTCACTGCGATTTACACATTGCAGTAGGCAACAATGGAGGACGTGAGTGAATTTCTGCGCGCCAGAGGGGTCCAAGAGGAAACCATAATAAGTCATTTTACAACCATCTGCAATGTGTAAATCGCAGTGAAGCTGGTTCTACAGTTACCGGTATTTCTGACTTTTTTCTCCCAAATAAAATGTTTTTTTTTTGTTCTGAGAAAAAAGCCAGAATTCTGAGATTAAAGTCAGAATTCTGACTTTTTTTCTCCCAAAAAAAAAAATGTTTTTTTGTTCTGAGAAAAAAGTCAGAATTCTGAGAAAAAAGTCAGAATTCTGAGATTAAAGTCAGAATTCTGACTTTTTTCTCAGAACAAAAAAAAAAATATTTTTTTTCAAATCCTCACAAAAAAATGTTTTATGTGGCCCTAATCCTCTTCCGTAAGTTTGTGGTCAAACCGTGAGAGTTTTTTTTGCTTTTGCACTGAGCACTGTTTCCGTACATCAAACTGAGGATAGAAACTGAGAAAATTATATTATGATAAATAAAATGTAATCAAATACATCTGTATAGTTAACATTCAATAATACTAAATAATAATAAAGTAAAATAATTTAAAATATCCCAAAATAAGAAGATCAAGCAACATTCTCAAGGTTTTTAGTCTAAAAATGAACTTCTGGTTTTTCCCCACACGGAAAGGAAACCTTATCTGTCCTTTTCTGAACTAATACAGTCTCTTTAATAAAAAGCAACATTTTAGATCTTACCAGCAGCCACCATGAAGGTGAGGAAGATGCGACGTCGCCCATGCATCCTTCACCCTCTGTCTGCTGTGTGCTGCTGGTGTTTTCTGAGACATGTGATCATACTTCCTGTGTGTTTCTTGAAAGAGGGTGTTTCTGTAACAGGTGGTTGTGACACTTCTGCTCAAACTGCTTCTAAGCTAAATGTTTCTATTCCCGTGCTTCCTCTTTCTTTAGTCATTCCTAAAGCCATCGTTTTGCAAACATTTTTTTTGTTGTGCTTTTCAGAAAAAAGGTACCCCAGAATAAAGATAGAGGGGTTCATTGGAAAACACTGATTCACAACAGGATCTTTGATGTTAGAAGTCATTGGACACTTGAGTAAACACATCTGGCTCAATACATTTTGGAGAAAGCTGTGAGAACTGCGAGAACAGTGTGCTCTGATTCTTGAAAATCTCAAACATTTTGTAAAATAGGAATGGTTCATTTGAATGGTAAGACTAAGCAATGCGCCAGTATAAGAATAAGAAAGAAATACTCTTTCAATCAGATTTGCCTCTGCACTATATAATCAGTTAGTTCTTATCCTGTTTATAAGTTCTCTTTTTTGTTTTTACTTTGAAACCTTAGTAACTAATATTACAAATATTACAAAATACTATTTATTTCAGTGGATCATTTGGCAACATGTAATCAGTAAGAAATAACTCGTTTTAAAAAATATATAAGCCTCACCTTTTTTAAATAAATGTAGGCCTACTGTGTTTTTTTTTACCTCTGTAACAAAATCAGGAAAATAATAATGAGGGCATTATTTCTTCTGCAAAAGAAAAGTTGCTGTAGCATTTTCTGTTTCCATATTATAGGTACATTATAATAATACAGATCAATTGACCTTAAATACCCTTTTATTCTGTATGTCTGCAAGATCTCTGCTCATCAATAAAACAAACGTGCTCCTTTATCGGAATGCATATTTCCATTTTTTAGCTTTTCAAGTTTGACAAAACCTAGTCATCAAGTGATGCTTATCAAATGACTGAGGACACAGTGAGCAAACAGGATGTCAGCTACTTCTAAAGTTTCAGCAACAGTAAACCACTGATATTGCAGGTGTGAAAGGAAATAAATGAACATGTTAAAAAAGTTTCCGCTCACATTTTCTAATTGAATCATCGTGGGACTGTTTGTACATCACACTTGTTGTGTTTATCTTTCTAGAAGGCTTGGGGTGTAGCAGGCTTTTGAACCTTGAGAGAAAAATCCACAACTGGGCAGCCCTGTGTTATGCAGCCCAGAGAAATGATGTCCACGTGTGGGGAGAAATACATAGCTAAGTTCTCTGGAGTCACTCCTCCACTCGCCTCGATCAGCAGGGCTGGGAACTCCTCCTTCAGAACATGAGCTGCAACATGGAGCTCCTATGAGGAGAAGGAGGGAGGAGAAGGGGGGTGGAATGAAGTGGCAGAGTGAGTGGAAACCAGGCAATGAAAATGCAAAGTGACAAAGGCTTGTGTGAGTTTAGTATTCTTCACCTGAGGTTGAAAGTTGTCCAGCATCACGATGTCTGCTCCTGCTGCGGCCGCCTCTCGGCCCTCGTCTGCCGATTGGCACTCCACCTCCACCTTAGAGCTGAAGCCACACACTGAGCGGGCCTCTCTCACAGCCTGCACACACACACATCTGTTGTGTTGAACGTCTTGTGAGCAGTGGTGTAGCCACCATAGGGCCAGGGTGGACCCAGGCCCACCCAGTTTACTCATTGGCCCACCCTGAGTCATTTTTTAATTTATTTTATTTTATTATTATTATAAAACATTTATTCACCCATTGAGAATATCCAAGCATTCAAAGTGAAATTCAAGTGAACAAATATCGAGTTTAATTAATGTTGTATCCTCTGAACCAAACTCATTTACGGTAACAACTGATTGTTGGTTCCGGCACGCGCCATTATAACGTGAGAGAGGCAGAGAGCTGCCTGCAAAATAAATGATGGCTCAAAGTTCACTTATGAACTTTTTTTTTTTTTTAAAAAGCCAGACTCCAAGAAGAGCCCCCACTGCCCTCATCTAGCAGCGATCTATACGATCATTTTCTGATAACGATGAAATAGCCCCGCCTCCCTCTCCCCACGGCTCCCTCTCCCCACGCCTCCCTCTCCCCACCTCTCCTGCTGCTGGGCTGTCAGAAGAAAACAAATGTTAACGGAAACTCTGCCGCACGGTTCCCTCGTCCCTTGGAAGAGGCGGAGAGGTGGGTGTTTTTCATCTGCTGGTGGACAGTCCGGAGAGATATACACAGGGTTGGGTTGTCACGGAATACATGTAACGGCGTTACGTAATCAGAATACAAAAATCAAGTGTATTCAGCTGGCGTTACATTTGAAAAACGAGTAATCTGATTACAGTTACTTTCGTAAACCTGAAGTGAATACATTTTGGAATACTTATTGGAATTATTGGTGGAAAAGTTTCCTCACAAAATGTAATATTCATTACCGGCAGAGCTGTGTGCACACTGCACAGCGCTGCAGCATGTCTGTGAGCGAGAGAGAGATGCAGCGCGTCTGTGAGGCCCCGCCCCCGCACGCAGATTAGAGAGAGAGATCTCTTTAAAAATATATTGAAAGTTAGAAACGGAGATGGTTCGATAAAATGTGCAAGATAACGTTTATGTAGCATTTCTTTATTGTCGAAATGATGACATTTATAACGGGATCAAATCAAAGTGAATGGCCTGCTGCTGCTGAATGCCTGGGGCAAGTGACTGGAAAAAGTTTTAAAAGTTATTACATCGTTTCAGATAATAAATAATAATGATAATTCATTCTATTTAGGGGCGCTTTTCAAAGCACCCAAGGACACCTTACAATTCATAACATATTCTAAGGAAAGGTTTTAAGACAGTACAAAGAATGCAGTCCGGGTGATGTTATTTATGTGGGGTGCAGATGAGAGGGAGCTGTCCAGAATGACACCAAGATGTTGTGTTTGAGTTCTTGATAAGCCATTAAAACAGTAAAATACGTGTCTCCTGTTCACCAAAACATACCCATCTGTTATGGAAAAAGAAAGTATTCCAAAAGTATTCTAAAAGTAATCAGCCACCGGTACCGGCAGGGATTGTTGTTAGCTTCTGATGCGCAGAAGAAAAATCTGGCCCACCCTATTTTTTACAGGCCCACCCTAAAGTACATTTCTGCCTACGCTACTGCTTGTGAGCATACCCGACTTCACGACTCGTGTCACCGGTGTCATTGGGCCTCATGCAGGAAGCCATAAACGGACACATTTCCTCTTATTCTTGTTACAATTTCGCAATAGCCATTGTATTTTGGGACATTTTACAGTTCTACGTGGTTGACACTTTATCCAAGATAACCTTACATTAGATTCAGGCTGAGGGAGTATTCCCTTTACAATTACATTCAAAAGAGGCGTAATCAGATTACTGGTACATTTAAAAAACAGTGGGGCTCACTAGAAGGATTCTAGTGATTCTCAAATATATATTTTTTAAATGCTATAATGTTTAAAAAGGTCTTTATTTTTTATTTTCTAAGGTTACATTGTTCTGTTATCTTTCATCGACTGAAGTTAAAAACAGCTTGTTAAGCTTTACATTTGATATTGAGATAATCCAAAAGTTTCAGGAAGTAATCAGGTTACATTATGTGAGACTCAGATTAGGTTACTAATCATTTGTTTTACATGTAACTGGTAATTGTATTGGAATACATTTGTCAAAGTTACCCTCCAAACACTGATTACATTTCATTTAGGTGGCGTTTCTATCTAAAACAACTTACAATAAGTGAAATCAACTATTCAGAACAAGAAAAATGCAGATATATTTCCTTCGAATAAGCCCTACCATTGTACGTCCTGGATGGTTTGTCCAACAAATAATAGATACGCTTTTAAATTCAAGAAAACCACAAGGAGATCCTATGATCAAATTAAGATTATTAGTTATTTCAAATGGTACGATTATTAAGTGTGCAGGCTATTGAAATACTATTGGTCCTAATAAAGACAATAATATACTTTGGAGAATGATATTGGGTGTGCTTAGACTCTGAAAGGTTTACTCACTGCTCTTAAATTATTTTTTATTTTCCTGTAGCGCCAGTACTGACGCTCTGTAATATCACATGTTAACTTTGTTTACTAGAACAAGTTCATCTTTTCAATTATTTTGTATGCGTGATGAGAATTTGCACATGGCAAAACAACTTTCCATATTTAGAGTTAAGATAAACAAGCGCATCTGGATGGATATTTAAACATGTTTTTCTCTAAACAGAAACTTTGATCTTACAAAAATATTGCTGCATTAGGTCGCCTTTTCACTTTTAACATTTACAGAAACCAAACGTCCTAAAAAAAAAAAGACCTGATTGCAACACATTACCCACAAGACAGCGATTAAATAGAAACACACTGCAAAGAGGAAGGCTGTGCCCTTTTCACCTTGTGTTTTTTAGTACATTATTGAAAGAAAAAAAAGTATTTGTTCCTTTAAACAAAAACAACAGTGTGTGGGAGAGAAACTCAGGGATTTTAGCCTTTGCAGACCATTTGCATTGTACACAAACCTACAGTATACAGTATAACACTACAGGAAAGGGAAAACCCCCAAAAAGCATATTAGGGCCTCTTCAAAAAGTTAGGAACTGTAACTACATCAATTAAACTATAAAGAATGGTATTTATATATATACAAATAAAAAATGTCAGCCACATCAGCTACATAGGGATTGTTGCCAGCTTGTGAGTATGTATGTGCGTGTCATCTAGTCAAAATGTGTTCCTGGAGACACCTGCTGTAGAGGGAACTAACACCGAGGAGGTGTTTGTGTCTTCGGTTCTTTGTGTATTTACAGTATATCTGTCTGTGGTCAGATTTTGTCAGTGTGATAACCGTGCAAGATGAGACAATGAAACATTATAAATTTGTAAAAATGAAGTCTGAGTTGAAATATTTCTGGTCTGAGTAGCTTTGCCGGAAGAAGTGGGGAACTAATGGCGCGTTTCCACTGCAGCGGGTAGCTCGCTTTAAGCGTGCCGAGCCGTGCGGGGCCCGTTTTTGGTTGCGTTTCCACTTGGCCTAGTTTTGGCCCGGGGCTACTTTTTCACCTTTTTTCTGGCCCGACTAAATCGTGGTTCTAGGGCCAGGAACAACCAGGCTGAGTCGGGCTGAGTATGCTAAACTAGAGAGAGAATCGCTGGCAAGGGGGCTACAACTACAACAAGATGAACATATTTGACTATGATTAATTGTTATACACGTTTCAAAATGATGCAGAAGTAACAACATACTGATACCGGTTAGTACAAACCATGAATTAATGCTTTGACAAGTCTGCAGACAGACGGCAGGCGAAAAACCCTTTTAAAATGCGTGTTTTCTAAATGGAGCTTGGCTAAGCTAACGTTATATATGCTCCGACCGTCCACACTCACAACAACGGCCTATACAGACATAAATAAACCAGCGACTGTATTCGCCATGACAAAGGCAGTCTGTGGTTTGTACTTGTTTAACTTTTGTCAAGTTTCTGAACAGATATGAGGAGCTGTGAGCTCTGAGTGCTAAGAGCTAACGGCTGTGTTGTTTTTCTGGGGCTCTCATTGAAGATGACGTCACGGCTCCGCCTACACTGCGTTACTATAGTAACTACCCCAGTTCCTAAACTGTAATGGAAGTGCAGCATTAAAGTGAGCCGGGCCTAATAAGGCCTAACCAAACCGAGCGAGGCCGAGCGAGGCCTGCAGTGGAAATGCGCCATAAGTGGGGAAGGTTGACCCCCACCACTTAACCCTGGCCAGATTTTGCGTTGCCTCAAGCAAGTGTTGGAATGTATAAGAACATCTTTAAGTATATTTTGATGCCAATACTTTTGCACTTTTGATTAAAGGACTTTTACTTGTAACAGAGTATTTTTATACTGTAGTATAGCTACTTTTACTTAAATAAAATCTCTGAGTACTTCTTCCACCACTGGCCTTAAGTGATACCATTGCAAGGAAATGTAGCTTTTTCTTCAACAGCTTAATATTTTATGGTGGATATTTTGTAATGATCTGTAGGAACATACAGTCTCAGAGTGATAACTGTATCTGTGGTGCAGCTGCCCACCTGTGTGATACTTCCTGATGCCCACACGTGGTTGTCCTTCAGCATCACCATTCCACTCAGGTCCTGTCTGTGCATGGACACACTGCCAACCAGCATGGCGTACTTTTCCACCAGACGGAAGCCCGGGGTGGTCTTGCGTGTGCCAGCCACTTCTCCATGCCAGCCTCTCTCTGCTGCTGCTGCCTGGAGCTGAGAGCATCGTGTGGCGATCCCAGAGGCCCGGGCCAGGCAGTTCAGAGCAGACCGCTCCCCCAAGAGGAGGCACCTGGCTGGGCCTTTCACAACGGCAGTCAGCGTGATGGCACCTGGGCCTGCATGGGGTAGAGTCATGGAGGATTGACAGTGCATATTGTTTTAGAGAGTTTTCTGCTTAAACCGATGCAAAATACCGCAGCATTTATAGCCTATTTGCAATGCTCCTTCTTAAAAAGGCCTTTAAAATGCAATCCGTAACTTCATAAGATTTTTATCAGAATCAAAAATAGAACTCTTTATCTATCCGGGTGGAATTGTTTTTGGGACGGTTGCCCTATTTTAGAATTAAAGAAAGAAAGAAAACATATACATATAAATACTTACATAGGAAATGAGATGTGCCAGACAAACATTAAATGAAATAACTATACTAAAATAAAATATACAATAAAAGAAAGACAAATTCTATAATATAAAATGTTTGTTCTACAATTAAGAAGTAAAAGTGTGCATATTGTACTATAAGCTGTATATTAAAATACATAATATAAATACAGTGGTGTATAAATAAGATATAAGAGAGGCCCTACTTTTTGTTTCCATGATAAACTTAGGGGCGGGACGATCGTAATAATGGTCTGTAGTGAGCCGTTACTGGTGCGTCTTTTGTTATTGGAGACTTTGCAAGGGATTTGTAATTACATCTATTCTAATTAGGGCCGGGACTCGATTAAAAAAATTAATCTAATTAATTAGAGGCTTTGTAATTAATTAATCGAAATTAATCGCATTTTTAATCACATATAAATATTTGACCTGAGAACAGTGAGAAGCAATTTTTTTCACATGGATTTTAGTATACCATTAGGCGCATTCACACCGCAGTACTTTTCCCACAAAGGTTCATGAGAACTTAGTTCATGAGAACTCTTTGAACCTGGGGGTGGATTAGGCAAATGAAGCCGCTGACGTCACTTCTTCTTCTTCTGCTTTGGGTTTACTGGCAGGCCGCAAACCACTTCACGGCGTATACTGCCACCCAAAGTCCCCGGCCGGAAGTCCCCGGAGTTGGGGACTGGCTTCAGTCGAAGCTGCTGGGACTCCCAGCAACTTCTACTGAAGCCTTCCGAGTAAATCGCCAGAACGCCGACACCTCCTCATCTCCACCGCTCCCATGTTTTATTTTGTGTTGCCATAAGTTAGTCTCTCTGCGTTTCTAAGCTGGGCTAATGCTAATGCTAATAATGCTAATGCGAGGATAATAAAATGGCGGCTTCACAAAACTTTTTGGGAGTTTTACGGGGCGTGGCCTGCAATCCTCCCAGCCAATCAGAAATATAGCTCTTTTCTCACAAGAGAGCCGTACGAAAGTCCCTGCTCTCTAGCAGCTCTCTGCTCTCTAGCAGGGACTTTCGTGGGGGTAAAAAGGTTCTCATGAACTAATTTTAGTACCGGCTCTTTTTGGTGTGAACGCGATAAAAGAGGCTAACGTCCACGCTAGCTTCCACGCTAGCTGCTATATGTTTTGCATTGAGGTGATACTTGAGGCTTGATGTGCTGCGGTGATATGCGAATTCCTTTTTGCATAATTTGCACACAACCGTGCTCTTATCGACGCTTCCATCCGTCCGTTTTTTAAAACAACATTTCCCACTGTTGTTCACTGTGGTTTGTTGTTGTCTGAAGTCATGAACGTTAGTTGGTGCTCCAGTATAATCGGTACGCCTGAAACTCATCCAGTGAGAAACGTTCCGCGGTGCAAAAATAAGTGCGATTAAAATGCGTTAATTTTTTTAACGCGTTAATTTTTGTGTAATTAATTAATCTTAATTAACGCGTTAAAGTCCCGGCTCTAATTCTAATATATTGGTGATTTGGAAGACACTGTGTAATGCCTACCAATCTCCTCTCCCTCCTGGTACACCCAGTCCACGGTGCAGCCGACCTCCGTGAACACTGCTGTGAAGAAGGGGCTCCCTGCCAGAACGCTGTGTGGGGTCTTACACAGCAGCCTGGCCTCCACCTCCTGTGACCCTACACAAGCACCCGCTGGGTCAAAGTTCGGTGTGTCTTCTGCCAGCCATTCTCGTGCCAGCCGGGTCAGGGCGTGAGGCGGGATGCAGTGTGCTGCTTTGTGTGAGGGCATGGTCATTCTGTGGAAAATAACTATTTATTATAACTAATAATGAAACTTGGTGACGGAAAACTGAACCCCGATAATGAAGTGAAACAACTCTCAACGTGCTTTCTTGTCTCACAATTACTGACAAAAGCAACAAAAAGAGAACAAACATCTACACATCGAGAGTACATTCAACATATCAGTTTCTAAGCACCCCAACCACCAAATTCCTATTTTTTTGTTGTTTAAAAAGCTCTTTATTGTTCCCATACTGCCTGTGCTGCAGCACCTCTGTTCACCCTGTCTGAAACCAGAGCCCAGTCTGCTCTGATTGGTTAGCTGGGCAGCTCCTTTGTAATTGGTCAACCGATTTGTCGGAAATGTCCTGCCCCTTAAGGCCCGGACACAACAATCTGACAACAAATAACTGACACAGACGGACCCCCGACTGTTGCGTCGCCTCACGTCTCTACGTCTTGGCCAACAGTCGCACTGGGACACACCGCAAAGACTTCAGCTGACGGCCAAGAAGCACGTACGAACTGCGCATGCGTGAGTGGCAATAACTCTCCTTACCAGCAGACGGCGGTAGTGTGTATTTGTCATTCAAAAGAGGCAACAACCGGAAGACAGACTGCGTGATAACCGAGAGAAGAAGAACAGACTGCATGATATAAACAAACAACAAATAGCGTGTGCGTTCCATTTTCACTCTACAACGAGAAGCTCCTGTGTCGAGAGCTGGAGTTAAATTAAATCTCAGATTTGCCTTCTTAATAGTTTGTTTGGGTCCCTCACTTCCGTTTCGCTTCTCATGCACTGATTCGCTAGCTGAACAGCCAATCAAAGTGATTTCTTTGGCCGATGGCCTTTGGCCGACTGCCCTGCTGGGTTTTAGGCCGAAAAAGTGTCGGCACGGCTTAAAAGACACGACGGTGCGGGACACACCAATCTGAGTAGGGCGTGTCGACGCTCATCGTCGGCCTGACGCCCACCGACGCCGATAATCGGCCTGGTGTGTTCGTGCCTTTAGCCTATCACGTACAATTTGTTGGACCGCTAGCCAGAAGTGTGAGTGTTAAATAGTGATGTCACTATGTTATGGAATTAAACACAGGAGTCCAATGGAGGCGTTTCAGGCTGGGGGGGGAGTATGTGGGAGATAAACTCTCACTTTAGGATGTTAGCCTTTGCTGACCATTTACATGCATAGAAAACCTATATAACACTCTACAGGAAAAGGAAACCCTCAAATGCATAATAGGAACCCTCTAAGTAAAAACCTACGTGAAGTGGGAGACATAACAAATGTAGGCCTAGATGCATGCTAAAATGGCTCATTAAATGGTTTGATCAATATCAAAATGATGTTATGGCCTTCACAGTCCCCAGTAAACTCCAGTGAGCACCCATGAGATTTTAGAGCAAAGATAGACAACAGTTAATGATCATCTCCTTCCGTCAGTGCCTAGTAATACAATTGTCTAATCATGTGATATTGTTTCCTATTTGACCACAGGCCTCTGAATTAAATACTAAATGAAATCATAGCGTGGCAGTCTTTGTGATAGTGGTAGGCTATATATTTTATAATTGTAATTAAACTTGTGATTTATACCTGTCTACCGTCATTACAACACCAAACGAGGGGCCATCGTATAGCTCAGTGGTTAGTTAACGGGTTCCACCAATCCCGTGGAAGATTTTCATTGAGAAACAGCCACACACACACAAACACTGGGTGTTTCTCAATCGCGAGGATGCTGGCTTGGTAGTCGCGTTCTTCCAAGTCACTTCCTTCAGAAACGAAGCAAGTATGCTTCCAAGCCACGGCTTCGGAAAACGAAGAAGAATGGAACAGGCTAACAAGTGTGCCACTCTCTCTATCGGTTTAAACATAAACTGTAGGCCTACCGAAAATAAATACCTCACAATGTCTATCTAATTATGAACTTGCTTTACTTTCACGGAACACATTTTTGGTGATAACAAACAAATGTAACAAAGTAACATATTTACCAACACATGTTCTACGCCACTACATACTTACATTTAAATTTGTGCTGCGTCAGTTCAGCCATTCTCCGCAAGGGTTTTTGAAATTGGTCCGTGCGCAAAGCATTGTGGGGATTTTAAGGACGCGAAGTCTACCCATGTGCAGCCCAGTGGCGGCGCCAGAGATTTTCTCTGGGGTGCTGTGGGGTAGCTTGACGTTTCATAGAGGGTTCATTAAGGATTTACAAAAAAGGATTTTTTTTTCCTGTAGCACCAGCGCTACAGTTGCATTTTCTACTGCAACACTCCCCATACGTACACACAGTGCACCCGCGTTACAATGAAGGCTCGATAATCAGCTCACGGCATATAGGTGTAAGCAGGGGTAAAGTGCTATTTTTACAAGTGGGTAGTGGATCTCACCTCCTCTAGGAGGGTCCTCACCTCCTCTAGTGGGGTCCGGGGGCATGCTCCCCAGGGAAGATTTGTTTTTTAAATATTGAAGTTAAAAGCATCAATCTGGTGCACTTTGAGAGCAAAATGAAGAGATCTATGGATTAATCTCTCAACACCCATATGAAACAGAACTGTAAACAGATTTTCTATTTCTTTATAGATATTTTACAAATCACTCCCCTTTTAAAACAAACCGTTTGAGACCCACTGAGATAACTAGACTAAAGTAAACTATCTAAACACTGAGAGCCCTTCACCTGAGCTGAGGTTATCCGAGACTCTCAGTCTGACAGGAGAGAGTTCTCCCTCCACCTTGATGTTGAAAAAGCTACTTATATCCGTTAGCTTGGCTAGCTAGCACCAGATGCTAACCACAACGATCTCCGGTAGATACCATAGAGTAGACTGTATACCCACCGGTGTGCGAGACGCACACAAAATGGCTCGTGCCACACACACACACACACACACACACACACAGAGCAGAGCTTGAATGAAACACAGAGACCCAGAAGTAAGCTACTTGTACTTACGAGGCCTATTATGTGCAGAATCCCTCTCGCTTTCAGGTGGTTTTGATTGAGTGTCCACAAGTGGACATTTAAGGACAAAAAAACGATACATTTTTCATTTTGTTGTTAGCAAATAATTTGGCGCTCTAGCTAACAGGAAGTCACTCAGTCAAGTGTCACAAAGTAATTTTGCCTATGGGTAGGTCAAAAATCGAATGGGTGCTGGCCATTGGCCTAATCATATCACCTGTGTTGGCTTTATGTTTTTGGTCAAACATTTGTTTGTTTCACATTTGCATTGATGTAATCAATCATTTTTCTAATTTAATTTAATAATAATAATAATAAAAAAATTAATTTAAAAAAACATATATCTTGGGGGTGCTTAGGGGGTGCTTTGGCAATCCTGGGGGGTGCTTCAGCACTCCCCCCTGGCGCCACCCCTGGTGCAGCCTCGAAATTTCCCCCAAACCAAGGACGCGGCCTCGGTGGAATTCCAAGTATGCTGGAGATTGGAACAGTCCTTCGGCGGCACTCAATGACGTAGCATCCTTGAAATATTGGCTTGGAAACCAGTATCCTTGAGGAAATAGCTTGAAATAAGGTCTGTGGAAAACGAATCTGTTAGATAAATGCACGTTTTGTTCAGCCGGATAATATCCACATGTCTGCCCTACTTTTATTATTTTCTAATCATAAATCGAATCGATAGATTTATGATCGATAGATTTATGATTAGCATAAGTTTGTTCATGATGTCTCACTTCAGTGATAGTGATGACATTGTTTGCAAAATTATTAACCGAGTCATTTTCAAGATTGAGTTACAATGATAAACTGGAGTGGCAAAGGATCAGCTGCATCAAGTACTTCATCCAAAAGGACAGGAGGATGGACTTTGTGTTTAAGTGATTTGATCATCAAAGGTAGGCCTAAGTGTAGGTGGAGTTGCAGCAATCTTTGACTCAAGTTTACTTATCAATACTAAACTAAAATTAAATTATACCTCCTTTGAAAGCCTCGTTTTTAGTCTTACGCATCCGCCTGGAAAACTTTGCAGCCAATCTTATTTGTTACAGTGTAGCCTACTGTGCACCAGGTCCTTATTCAGAATTCTTATCAGAATTCTCTGAGTTTTTATCAACTTTGGTACTTAAAACAGATGAAGTAATTATCGTAGGTGACTTTAATATTCATGTTGACGATGATAAAAATAGCCTTACTGTTGCATTTAACTCTATATTAGATTCTTTTGGTTTCTGTCAGAGTGTAAATAAACCAACCCACTGCTATAATCACACTCTCGACCTTGTTCTGACTTATGGTATTGAAATTGAGCAACTATTAGTCGAACCGCATAATCCTGCTTTATCCGACCATTTCTTAGTAACTTTTGAAGTACTGTTACTAGACTACAAAGCATTAGTCAAAAGCTTCTGCAGCAGAAACCTATCTGTTAGTGCTATAGCCAAATTTAAGGAAGAGATTCCACCAATACTTAACTCGATAGCATGTAAGGGAGGAAACTTATACAAAATGTACACCACCCCAAATTGATCATGTTGTTGATAGTGCTACAGATGCGCTGCGAATAAAATTAGACTCTGTTGCTCCTTTGAAAAAGAAGAAAATAAAACAACATAGATTATCTCCATGGCATAATGCCGAAACCCGCAAAATAAAGCAAAAGTCGAGACAACATGAAAGGATATGGCGTTCCACTAAACTTGAAGAATCTCGTTTAATTTGTCATATTACTCTCAATGAATATAAGAAATCACTGCGTAAAGCAAGAGCAGCCTACTACTCTTCATTAATAAATAAGAATAATGCAAGATTTCTTTTCAGCACTGTAGCCAGGCTGACAGAGAGCCATAGCTCGATTGAGCCTTCTATTCCCATAGCACTCAGTAGTAATGATTTTATGTGCTTTTTTAACAATAAAATTGTTACTCTTAGAAACAAAATTAATGACCTCTTGCCTTTGACCAGTATAGTGTTATCAACAGCTCCCGGAAACGTAAGTTCTAATATTACACTAGATAGTAAACTAGAATGCTTTTCAGCCATTAACCTTGAACAATTAAATTAAATGATTCTCTCTTCTAAACCATCAACGTGCATGTTAGACCCAATTCCAACTAAGCTTTTGAAGGAAGTTTTTCCATTAATTAACACTTATTTATTAAATATTATGAATATGTCTTTATTATCAGGCTATGTTCCACAATCATTCAAAGTAGCAGTGATAAATCCGCTTCTTAAAAAGCACAACCTCAATCCAGAGGTTTTAGCCAACTATAGACCTATTTCTAATCTTCCGTTCCTCTCAAAAATTCCTGAGAAAGCGGTAGCAAAACAGCTGTGTGATTACTTAAAAAACAATGATTTATTTGAAGATTTTCAGTCTGGCTTTAAAAACACATCATAGCACAGAGACAGCTCTGGTTAAAGTCACAAATGACATTCTAATAGCCTCAGACAAGGGACTTGTCTCTATTCTTGTCTTGCTCGATCTCAGTGCTGCATTTGATACTATCGTCCATGATATCCTATTGCAAAGATTAGAGCACGTAGTTGGCATAAAGGGAACTGCTTTAGGCTGGTTTAGGTCCTATCTATCTGACCGCTTTCAGTTTGTGCGTGTCAACGATGAATCTTCCACGCAAACCAAAGTTAGCCATGGAGTGCCACAGGGCTCAGTGCTTGGACCTATTTTGTTCACATTATATATGCTTCCGTTAGGCAATATTATAAGGAATCATTCTGTAAACTTTCATTGTTATGCGGATGATACCAGAGATGGAGTACTCGAGTCCTGGACTCGGACTCGAGTGCCGATTTTCGGGACTCGTGACTTGACTCGGACTTGCGCACTGATTGACGCGACTCGGACTCGGACTCGTGAATTCTCACGCACGATGACTTGGACTTGGACTCGGACTCGGCTCGGACATTCCTTGGATGACTCAGACTTGGACTCGGACTCGAGCAAGTTTTCTCTGGAGTCTGATGTCCTCTGTGTCCTGGCGTGTGCACCTGCGAGGCGAGTTCACGTACTGGGCACGCCCCCGCTGCTATACCAGTCTAAAGATGTCCAGAGACACACCCCGCATCGTGCTGTATGCTTTTAAAGATTTTGTTTCCATATTGGGAAAGAGCAGCGCAAAATGCACATTATGTGGACAGAAGATAGAAGAGAAGACTGGGACAACGTCGAATTTCAATCGACACCTTTCACGGCGGCACCCACGGATAAGCGGGAGAAGATGGATGGACTACAAGTGCACTACTTAGAACTTGATTGTTGAGGCTACAATAAAGATGCCTGTCAAAATGTCTAAACATATATTTTGTGTTTTATTGTTCCACTACATTTCATAATGATAATTGCTACAATGATGGGGAGTTGTCTTTTCTCTTACTGTGCCACAGAACAACACAAAAACTTGTATTTTTATTGTTATTATTTTTAAAGTAAAGTAAGTTGTTACTAGTTACTTTTATAATTTAGTAACTAATTTGAGCATTTTGAGAGCAGTAACTATTACTAGTTACTTTTTAAAAGTAACTTGCCCAACACTCCAAAACACACAACTACAACACTTTATGTTGTTTTTTTGTTACTCCGTGATTCATTTCTACTGTAAACATATTATTCCTAATGTATATGCTTTACTTTCATCAATCCTTCTGCAAGCTGCAGTAAGGAATTGTTTAAACGTCTGCTTCCACCAGTCAGTTCTGCATCCTAATCTACAACTAGGTACGACAAATTTTCCAGATGTAAATATCTGGTCCAAAATGAGAACATTACTAGAAAATGAAACAATAAAAACGAGACATTTACTTACTTCTTGCAATGGCTCTGCTTTCTCTGTTGGTCACAGGCTGTCGAGTTGTTCAGCTGGTCACACAGAGCCACAGGGAAATGTGACATGGAATTTGACCCTAACCCAGTGGCGTAACAAGGTTGTGATTGGCCCCGGTGCAAATATTTAGTGTCTCTCTCTCTCTCTCTCTCTCTATGCTATATAGATTCGAGAGTACTAGACGAGAATGGCGCAGAGACAGAGAGCGGAGCTAAGACGAAGAGAGCGCGAGAAGATGACGCGCGCTGCAGCGCAGCGACGAGACGCGCGCGACGCGCGAGAACGCGCCTCGCGCGAGCGCGCGAGAGCGCGCACGCGCGCGATCGCGCTCTCTCTCGCTAGGAGCGAGAGTCTCTCGCTCTCCTCTCTCTCTCTCTCTCTCTCTCTCTCCTCTCTCTCTCTCTCTCTCTCTCTCTCTCTCTCTCTCTCTCTCTCCATATATCTATTTAAAACTCATAACAAACAAACAAAATTCCCAAAGTTGTCCTGAAATTAACTAATTAAATAAACAAAACGAAAAATATAGCCTACTTATGCAAACAACATAAAACGGAGCATTATTTATTTCTACTTGAATGTAGCACTGCACCCGCTTTGCGATTATGTAGATTATCTCATTTTGAACAGCTGGACTCAAGTATTTCACAGAACCTTGTGGTCGCTCAACAAGTTCTTTCAGAACCGGATCGTAACATGCTAAAAGTTCTATCATACTGAGAAAGTTCCCACTGTTGGGCTGTCCAAGAATCTCCCTATGTCCTCTAAAAGCCAAGTTACAAGTGGCCAGAGTGATTGTAATGTTGACAATACGCTCAAGTGCCTGTCTTTCAGTAATTAGCAGCATTCCTTGCATTCCTCTCCATGTTTGCATCGATTCTCCCGTTTTTCTTCCAATGACACACGCTCCGACATGGACCTGAGATTGTGCATGTGAGTCAATCCTCGCAGACAACGCATGTCCACGCATCACTGTAGAACGGTGCACCTCGGTCTGCGAACAGCCAGCACGGCTCACAATGGGCACAGTCCAGGGTGGGGGAGTAACACAGCCATGTCCGTGGCAGTTTGGTATCTGCTCTGGTAGTGGTGGTGTAATAGATCTCGGAAAAACACCTGTTTCCTTGATGTGTGTCTCTGGGGAATGGGCCGATAGGCCTACATGGGCCAGTTGCTATAATATAGCCTTTGATCTTTGAACTGTAGGACCACCGCCGGACACAGCCAAATCCATCCTCTCCTCCTGGCTCATGGCTGGAGAAGAAGGTCGCACAGCTACGGACACAGCTTCACTTGTGGAGCTAGATGATGGTGAGGCAGGTGAGCTATCGTTAGCCTCTGGCTCCGGCTGTCGCTGCACGTCAACATTACCAACGTTAGCGTTTGATTTCGAGGACGATGTATGACAAAAAAAACGGTCTAATTTTGTCTGTTTATCCTTTACATCTCCTTGTTCTCTCTTGTCCTTTCTCTTTTGAGCGCCGCTCTTGTGTTTTGGTTTGCTGTACATTATAAATGCTCAAGCTACCTAACTTCACTCCTTCCACCTTTGAATTCCATGCCGTCACAGTAACCCATCCTATACAGTTAACCATTGTTGTTCTCTACCGTCCACCAGGCGCCTTGGGGGACTTCTTGGAGGAATTAGATCATCTCCTCTCACACATCCCTGAAACTGGCCCTCCCGCTGTACTTCTCGGAGACTTCAACCTCCAGACAGGGAAGGTAGATGAACTAACATCTCTGTTAACCGCCTTTGCTTTCTCACTGTCTCCATCCCCACCGACTCATAAAGCTGGCAATGTCCTTGATCTCATATTCTCAAGGAACTGCGCTACTTCTAACCTCTCTGTAAACCCGCTCCACACATCCGATCACTTCTTCATTTCATTCTCTCTACCCCTTTCCAAACATAACAAACTAATCTCTCGCAGCGTTGTTTCCCCCAAAAGTGGGCGGGGCCGTAAAGTGACGTCGATGTTACTCTCATCTATGAAAATCGATAGCCTACTGCTATATTTAACCATATATCGAGCCCGATCGTCGATTTCTAATGGCTTAATGCAATTGTTTGCCTGTCTGGCCATTGGAATCGGGCTCTTTGATGATCCAAAAATCTCCGGTTTTCTTAAATCTCTGATCGGATTGGCAAAAACTCATCTATCCTATGAGCTGTGACAATGTTTAAAATAAACTGTCAGTCGGACTCAAGAGTTTTTGAAGATGGACATAAGAAAACAATTTCTTAAAAAAGACGACAATTCTCAAGTGGTGGCTCACACAACAACCCCAGAGCCACCATTGAGCCAGGTAAACAAGGTATGTAAATGTCAGTAAACTTCCAAGTTATGTGAACATGTAAGCAAATCATAAATTACAGCTACGTTGATGTTACTTTGAATCGCGGGGGAAAGCTAAACCGTTAGCAAGTAGCTATAGCTAGCCAGATATATTAAATAAACACTTTGTCATACAATCTAAATGTTATGTTTTTTAGTGTTACCTGGGGGGTATACTACGAAGCAGGATTTTCGCTTAGCCGGCTAAATTCACGGAAAACTCCGGCTTTCCGGTCCTACGAAGCTGGTTCTCTTTTTAGCAGGCTAGATCTCCATGGTAACTTGTGCTTAGCGGCTAACCTGGTCGGGACCAGGGGCCTCATTTATAAAGCGATATACGCTCAAAAAATGGCGTATGCCAGTTTCTACGCAAAGTTTGCGATTTATAAAATACTAACTTGATGGGAAAACGTGCGGTCCTCCACGCAAACTCTAACCCATGCGTACGCACTAAGCACAAAAACGGGAGAGACGAGAAACTGCGACACCGTTGGCAGAAGGAAGAATGGAGAGAAATATGTGGAAATAATACCATCAATAAAATGTTACCTCTCATTTATCATATATGAAGAATTCATTTTCAAACATTGATTAAAGCCAATCTTAAAATGATTAAACAAACGCCTGTTTGCGACTCCTCAGTGCACACAAAAACATAACTTGGAGAAATAAATAAATACGGATATGTTATTGAAAACCACCTCGAATATGTTGTGTTAATGTCATGAAATGTTTTCTCATAAATGATGCGGTAAGCAGGAGGACAGAATTACGTCTAAACTGACGCCGTGTTGCATTTCTATAGGTTGATACGAGCATGGTTTTATATACTATCACGTTTAATCGTGTTTTATGCCGTTCGCCGCCTACTTGATAAGTCGCTCGTAAAACACAGGAGGCATGGAAACTAAGAACACCATGTGGTAAATTGTACAGCTAATATAACACAACACATTAGTTGTATTTCCTTTAACTGGTGGATATAGGGTTGCTGGGGGGGGGGGGGTTGAGACGCACAGGCTGCAGTGGAGAGGCTGCGCACAGCTGATCGACAGCTGGGACACAAACCACCAAATACTAATACAAATAAATAATTCAGATCCAGTCGTCATGACTCCACACCTGGGGGATTCCCCGATCATTTCTTACAGTTTCTCATCAAGGGGGTGTCTCCTGTCCCCGGTACAAACACACTGCCTGAGGAAGGATGTGTATTGTTTTTGTCATTAACCTTTTTCGGGCCATTTATTTATTTCTTTTGGTGACGATCCGACCTCCATGCTGCTCCCCTGTTCAAACTGCATCCACCAAACAATATGATTTATCTCGACCTCCCCAAAATTATCAGAATCTGACACGGTGTGAGATGTCTTATTTAGCTGTTCTGTCATCATTTCCTGCGATCTTCTTCATGCAGTCAGTCAGAATGAATGAATGAATGGGCGTTTCTTTGACTATTTATAGGCAAATATGGGCATTACGTGAACCCCGCAAAAGCTGCACCGCATTTCGAGTCGGTTGTGATTTATAAAGGGAAACCGGCGTAGGAAGTGGTGTACGCACTTTCCTCGCCGGTGCGCAATGTTTGGTGAATCGGGAAGTGGCGGAACATTTATGGACCTATTTTTCGGATTTCTACTACGTAAGCAACCTTCCCACGTGAATCCTACGCACGGCGTTATACATGAGGCCCCAGGTTAGGTTGCAGGCTAAGAGCTCAACTCAGTGAAAGCACTGCCTGCTGACCAATCAGAGCTCAGTGTGCGAAGTTTAAAGCGATCAAGTCATATTACAGGAGAAAGGAAATACAGAAAAGCTGCCGATGCAGGAAAGACGGCCGGCAAAAATCACCGACTGTGTGAACGTGAACATTAATAGAATATCACCTCCCATCTTCAGAGCAATCTGACTATTATAACATTAGCGTTAAGAAAGCTTACTTAAATATCTGCCACAACATAAGTAACCGGATCAGAGTAACATTAAGTACAGTCCGCGGCATATCACTTCATAATGTATCATATATTTTCTTATCTGAGTCAGCCGAGCCGTATCTGGCCGTGCAACACTCACAGTGTCACATAGCCTACTGTATGCAGAAGTATTATTTTATTTTAAGTTGACGAAACACTCGACACAAATGTAATTAAAGTCAGATCCACTCGTGTTTTAGACGGGGCAGTGATATCATAAACCTGTTAATGTACGCATTCAAACACTTTTTCTTTTACCAGCTGTATTCACCTTGCAGGTGCAGCTCTGTGGCTTTTATCCTGGATAAAGTGTTTAAGTGATGGATGTTTAAAGTTTAACTTCTTCATATGTCTAATATTATAGTTGACTTTTCATTAAGGAAGTATGACGCTGCGCTGTCAGTATGCTTCTCCATGTTTGTGATTGGTCGAATGCTCCAAATACCACCCTTTTCATGTGAACGCGCACCTAACTAGATAGGACACGGCTGGCTTGAGCGATCCACTTGATAACCCGCGTCGTAGTACCATTTAGCGAGAGCGCGTATGTTTTGGATTAGGCCAACCGGCTAACTCAAACATATCCAGGTTAGGTTGAACCAGCTTCGTAGTACAGGCCCCTGGAGATTTCAAAGAATGCTCTCTGGAAAATGTTGACTTACTGTTCGACATGAAGCTAGAAGCTACCTTACAGCATACCTGCCAACCCTACCGATTTTGGGCCTACCGACTTAACTGGTTTTCCCTACCGATTTTCAATCTTCCCAAACTATAGCGAATAAAAATGACACTACATAGACACTGGACTCGACTTT